GACCGCTTAAGTGTCCTGGATCCCGATCTTGGAGAGGGAGAGCATTGCTCCGAACAGCATCCAGCAGTAATCCTGTAAATATAGGTATCCCACTAGCTATAAGCCCTGCTAGTATAAGGCTTTCCCCTACAACACGAGTCGAGGCTGCGAGTTGAGGGTAAGAAGAACTGGCTTAATGGGCATTCATTCACATGAACCACGACCACCCTGGCGATGGTCAGTTATGTTGTGGTTAACTACAAACCGCAGCTTCTGGGTGGTTAACTGGGGCACATGCCACAGGTAGGGTGGTCGGTCGTTCGGTAGTTAGTTTGACATTTCATTTGGTACCCAGCTCGACCCTCTCATACAAACGGTGACCACCCTGATGACAACCAATTAGACTGTGGTTAAGAACAAAACCGCAGCTCCTGGGTGGTTAACTGGGGCACACGCCACAGGTAGGGTGGTCGGTCGTTCGGTAGTTAGTTTGACATTTCGTTTGGTACCCAGCTCGACCCTCTCATACAAACGGTGACCACCCTGATGACAACCAATTAGACTGTGGTTAAGAACAAAACCGCAGCTCCTGGGTGGTTAACTGGGGCACACGCCACAGGTAGGGTGGTCGGTCGTTCGGTAGTTAGTTTGACATTTCGTTTGGTACCCAGCTCGACCCTCTCATACAAACGGTGACCACCCTGATGACAACCAATTAGACTGTGGTTAAGAACAAAACCGCAGCTCCTGGGTGGTGTCGATTGTTTGATTGTAGGCACATTCCTCAGGTATGGTGGCTGTCCGTTTGACAGTTTGTTCGGTAGTTGGAGAGGTGAACAGGGTTAATCGGCGGCACACACAAGGGTGGTCAGCCATCCGTACACATGAATGGCCTGCAATAGCTGTTCGAACAAAAAGTAACAGAAATAGTAGCAAGGTCACAGGGTTGTAGCAGACAGAGGGGACTTCTGTGACAATAAGTAAGGCAGATAATGCATTAACTTAATTATCCACAGGCAAAAAAAAAACAAAAAACACATATTTTACAAAGTCCAATAAGTACCCCAAAACACAACATATCCACATAGTCACATCTCCGGATAGCCCCGATATGGATGAATAACATATTCAAAAATCACCCAGATTGGTTCAGGGATTCAGGGATATCCTGGAAGTCATAGTTTTGACCGACCGTGCACATGGTCTTATGCCCAAAACCGTTCCAGGGAATTAGGGCCAACGGTCGGTCTCTCTTTATGGAATACAAAAGTACTTAGAATACATGGATGGAGCCTTTTAAAATGTATTGGGCAAGGTATATTGCAAGGCCCATAGTTACAAGGTATATATGCACTTTAAAAGACTGTGTTCCTGTGAAGTATGTACTTTTGTACTCCAGACAGAGAGACTCCCCCCCCCCCCAATAACCCCACTACGTCGGCAACACGCTGGACCCGAGCACCCGGGAGACAGCAAACTGTCCGGTTGAGACGATCAGAGTGGCAGATTACCCTATATGCTCTCTCTTTTTGTTTTTGCATTTTATAGAATTTCACAGTCTTATTACAGGTATACAGGGTATGCGGGTTACAGTCATGTTTACAGCATAGCAAAAACAATATATTGAGCAGCATGCATTGTCAATGTACCATCATAACTTTACATTGGTGAGAACCTGTGTTGAGCATACATGTAGTAGTTATACTAGAATTACACCGTTAAACAGAATATCCTGACATTGCTATTGTGCCCATATTTGTGTTGCTCTCTGTCTTGTCCAATGGACGTGATAGGTAGAGTTTTCTTTTCGCTCTGCCGGTCTCGGTAAGTGCTCAGCTGTAAAGTAACCCACATCTCCCTGGTGCTCAGCTACTTTTCCAGTGAAAAGTTACAAACTTGGGGGCATAACCTGGGTGTAATGCGGGGAAAGAGGGAGAGGTAGAAGAGGAGAGAGGGGCGGGGGTGGTCCCTTAGTCTAGTCCAGCATATAGGCCTGTTCTTCAGCCCCAATAATTGGCACCAGAGTACTCGTCCAGCTTTAAGTAGGGTGGTGTGTGTGCTCCCATGTGGTCAGAGATGTGGTTCTGAGAGGGGGTGCTTATTACCTTTTCCCTAAAGCTTGTTCTGTGAGTTGCAACGTGAAGGGTTTCACCATTTCTGTTGATATGTGTCCCATTTTTCCCACGCCTCCTTCCAAAATTTTTGTGGTGGATTATTGGATCTGGCCATTATCTCATACCCCTTTATAGTTTCAATGTGTGTTATGCAGCTCTGTATGTTGGGGATCGTCTGCTTTTGCCAGTGTTTGCTGATATGCAGCGGAACTGCCAAGATAATGTGATATATTAAGTATTGAGATGATTTTGTATGGCTTGGTGGCATATACTGTAGGAGATAATGCTCAGGAGTATGTGCAAGAGCTACACCTGTAGTGTTTTTAATTAGGGCCTGTGTGTCCGTCCACAGTGGTGTCAGGACCAGGCATTCCCACCATATGTGTAGCATGGTGCCCTGGGCTTTATTGCATCTCCAGCACAGTCCTGTATTCTTAGGTGTCATATGTTTTAGACGGGTTGGTACTAAGTACCAGCGATATAATAATTTCCTGGCTAGTTCTAGATGGGCTGTACTAAGTGTGAGTTTCTTATTCTCATACAGTATATATAACCACTGTTCTTTTGTTAACTGTCTTCCTAGTTCCGCTTCCCATGCTTTTACAAACTGTAATGTATGTGGGTCTAGTGCTCGATGTTGGTGAGTGTACAGTGTGGAGATGAGCTTAAGTGTTTTTTTCGTCTGTGTGCAGAGGCTTTCTAATGCAGTGAAGGTGCCCCACCTGTCTCCTGCAGGTAGTACATTTTTATTTTTCTGCAACCATGAGTTTATCTGTCTGTGCGCAAATGCTGCTGCGTTGGGTAATTGGTATGTATTTTGCAGTTGCCTGAAGGGGATGACCTCTCCCTGATCAAACAACTGATGTAAGTATGTCAGACCCCTACTACTCCAGGACGCCATGTTCAATGAAGGTATCAGTCCATAAAAGGATTCTAGGAGTAAGGCTGGAGAGAGCCCCCCATCAAGTCCCTGTTCCTTATGAAATCTGTCCCATTCTCGTAATGTTGTGGCTGTGAGTGGTGACATATCTTTATATTTTTTTCTGAGTTGTGGTGGAGTCCAGGCTAGGTGCGTTATTTGTTGTCCCCCAGTGAGTTCTGCTTCTACGGTTACCCATGGGGATGGTTTGTCATGTTGGTGTAGTTCGTTGACCAGCGGTGCAAGTATATCTGATCTGTAATACGTGGCTATGTGTGGCAATCCCATTCCCCCTCCTT